CAAGGAACCATGTACAGGGATGTGCCCATACCTGATCCTGCAATTGATTATGACTATGGTACGTAAACCTGATAAAGGACCACGCATAATGTAATGATTTTGAGCAGGAAAGCTAAAGAGCACTAGACTAACCTTAACTCAGAATGTCATTCATTCAGAATCACAACAGCATATTAACACAGACTGTGAGACTGATTACCCCTTTTGTTTCCCTCTTCAGCCCCCTATGATTGGGTCAGTGGTGTCTCATCATTGTCAGGGCTGTCAGCTGGGCTTCCAACTTCCAACAAAATGTTATGAAATATAATTTGAAACTACTAAAATGTCAACCCCTCAGAAACAAGCTTAACAACACAGAAGTGATCATAAAAATGCAATATTAAACTACTGAATATTCAGAGAGAGAAAAGGCCACATTTATACCATAACAAGGTGCGGAGTTTACAGTTACAATGCAAGCCAATAAATTCAAAGATCAGATTCCCACACTGACCTTAATTTTACCCTCTTGCATGTATGCTTTACGGTAGGGCAGTAGTTCTCAACCAGGGGTGTGTGGCCCCCTTGAGGGCCTCAAGCAGGTTTCAGGGGGGCCTCCAAGCAGGGCCAGCATTGGACTCGCTGGGGCCAGGGCAGAAAGCCAAACCCCCACCGCATGGGGCTGAAGCCCAGGTCCCTGAGCCCTGTCACCTGGGGCTGAGGCTGAAGCCTGAGTAATGTAGCTTCATGGAGGCCCCTGTAGCATGGGGCCCCAGGCAGTTGCCCTGCTTGCTCCCCCTAACGCCGACCCTGGCTTTTATATGCAGAAAACCAGCTATTGTGGCACAGGTGGGCCGTGAAATTTTTATAGCCTGTTGTGGGGATCTCAGAAAGAAAAACGTGGAGAACCCCTGCAGTAAGGCACAGTGTCAAACTGGAATGTGCTGGCCTGTTCTGAAAGAGACAGAGATCCCTCACTGCCCTAGGTGGTTTTGAACAAGAGTAAGTAGTTGGTAAAGTTGCTAATCTCTTTAGCCTCATCCAGATTAGGATGTGGTTGCCATAAATTTAACATATGTTAAAGGCCTTGTCTACACTAAACTATTAACACATTAGCTAACACCTTCCAAATCCTAATGCAGACAGGGCTCGGTGACCTTCTCCACTGTTTTTTTGGGTGGATTACCATCATGAGAAAGTAATAAGTGCACCTACTCTTTCTTCCAACAGCTGCACCATTTCTTCAGTGCCTGTAACTAGTGCGCTCCTGAAAATACATATAGTCAAAGCAGTGAGTGGAGCATCAATCACAGGAGCTAGAGAAGTAATGACTTAGTCCACAGTTCTGCCCACAACCAACCAGGTAGTGTTGTACCCTCTCCATTTTAATAGTCACAATGAGGCCCATGACACAAATGTGAATGTGACAAGGGCAGCCGCAATCTATGCTCCTCTGGCAGCTCTAACTTCACGAGGACACCTGGGACTCCCTGCTTCGTAACCACTCACCATAACAAAATCCAAGAACCTTTACAGTTGGAGTTTTTACACTGTTGTACAGCAGTTACACAGGGGATCTTTCAGTGGTTTGGTTTCAGCTACCTCAGGAGACCACATCTCTTTCCATGCCCTGCCCCGGCATCTGAGGTCAGCTGATAATGTATCACTAACAGTCCCTAGATTCATCTAGCTAAGGAGTTGCTTTCAGTAGAGGCTCTTCAATTCTGTATTTCACTTCCCTGCACTGCAGTGATTGAGCTTTTAAAACACAATGCAAAGCTCACCTGTTTACTCTGACCTTTACAGGAAGTGTGCAGTGATGTATAGTTATAATGTAATCTATTATTTAGGGGAAAAGTGCATTTAGCTAAAGATTTGTCATACTGATTATACAGGACACAGTTCTGACACCCTTACTTCACATTATTAATGGCATTTACTCACTTGAGTAAGTGCTCCTCAATAGCAATAAGCATTGCTGAATCAAGCCCATATTGCATTTGTGCACAACCTCATAGACAACAGATAGGCACTTTTGCTGAAAATAATAAATTATGCATGCATAGTAATTAAAAAAACCTATGTGTAGCTAAAATTACAGAAAAAGGATACTAAATATAAAAGTTATAACATTCCATTTGTTTATGTTTTTACTGGAGAAGCACAAAGTAAAAAAAAAAATGCAGTGTCTGAAGTTTACAAGCAATAATCACTGCACCACAGATGCATGTTTCACAGACTCCCTTTTCCCCTTGAAAGTTTGCCAGTCAAGTACTAACCGGGCCTGGCCGGTCCTGGTTAGACTTAACCAGGAAACAGATATATTCAGATGGACACCGTTCTGCTTCTTAAAACAAAAACAAAACATTAAACCATCCAAATCCTGCCCTTTTAACATACTCCGTTCACATGTACATCTGCTATATAATTACTTGAGTTTGTTAGACTTCTAGCTTTAAAGTTTTATAACCCATTAGAAAAGCGGTGAGTTGAAAAATAGAGGAGGGTTGTTAACGCAGTAAAAAGCTTTCACCAGTGTTCACTCAAGTAGCAGGTCAACCTCTTTATAAATGCATGCTATAAACTTGCCGGAAAATTATGAAAGATCCCCACAACCAAACCAACCATCTCCTAAACCAACAACAGTCACTGGCAAGAATGATTCCTCAAATATGTGCATCTGAAAAAACATTAAGGGGTAATGAATGATTGAGTTAATCATGTTCTGAGCATGATTTCAATTGTTCATAATATTGTCATTTCCAAACCAAAGTTCTTCCAACAAATCAGCACATGTATTCCTCATTCAGGGCAGCACACATGCCCAACTTTTAGAACACCACTTTTTTCTTTTTGTTTTTTAAACTACCCAGGTGCACATCAAAAAAGCAGCTGATGGAAGTTTTAATTGGTGGAAAGTGCTTTTTCCTATTTTCCCAATTCAGACAACAACCAAAGAGATGTTATTAAATATCCTGCTAAGCATGGAAAGTTCCCCTCCTCCCCCAAAAAAGTTCCTTTTCATAAAAAGATGTGACTGAAAATAAGGTTACATCGTCTGAGTGCTATAACATGAACCAACATTCTTGCTGAGAAATAGCTTCACAATAGCATACATAGAGAGCAGCCAAGTCTGTTGTGCTATTACTCCTGAGATGTCAAAACCCATAAGAGCAAAAGAACAGTAACTCCACAAAACAGCTACATATCCAGTTGGATTTTACAGCTGGTAGGAGCTTCCAGTTTCAAGCACAAATGCTAACCTATGACATGGCTTCTTATTGCCAAACCACCTGGACTTTAAAACAATTTGTGTGCTTAACAGCAAATGAGCAGGATTCATTGCTGGCTTTCAGGCCTTTCTGTGCAAGGGTAAACTAAGTCCCTTTGCACACAGCAGCACTCCTCAAAGACTAGATTTAACTGAGAAACCTCCAGAAGTAAACACACGCATATTTAAACAGGAGACAAGCTATTGCAATCGGAAAGCCTGCAGGACAGTAAGAGACAAACACACGCAAGATGCAGCTGCTTCCCACCAAATTATTGCAACCATACTGGAAGTAAATACCTGGGCTCATGCCCACCAAATGCTTTCCAAGGGTCGAGATGCCTAGCTGCTTTGTGTGTAACAGTCTTCACAGCCCCTTTGCCTTGGAATGGGGACTTCAGGCCGCACTATGTGCAGTGATATCACACACAGCAGTTGTAGCAGCAATCCCCCATCACACACACACACCTCCTTCCTCGTGGGTGGGAGGTGGGAGCTTCACCCCTGAGCCTGCTCCTCTCCCCCGGCTTGGGCAAGCTGCTTCACACCCACACCCCGAATGCTTTTGGCGGAGTGAGAAAATCCCCCCGCACAACAGCAGCCGGACAAAAGCCTCTCCCCGGGGTGGGAGCCCCACGCGCCAGGGCCCCCGGGGGGGAAGGTTTCCCAGGACAGGGGCTAGTTGCGCTCGATGTTCCCCATGGCAACACGGCCCCC